TTTCTCACGTTACACTTCTGCTGACGGCGGGCCCAGCTATGGGAGGCTGACCTGCTTCTCTCCATGTTGGCGGGAGGACCTGCCCCAGCCGCCTGGGGTGCATTTGTGCAAGAAGCGGGGCTCTGTGATAGGGTAGTGTGACACTCATGGCCCTCCCCGCTGACCCCACACAGGCCCAAAGTGGGCTCTGGTCACAGCCTGGTCAGCCTGTCCCTGGTTCTCAGACTGAAATCCAATCCATCTTTGTTGCTGAAAGGAACCTTAGAGGCTATGAGATGCTGGAGCCAGGCCGTGGGTCCCCCTCCTTTACACAGAGGCCCAGCAGCCTGGAAAGGGGAGGCAGCCACTGCCCACTCACTGCCCCCAAAAGCCAGCCCAGGAACCCTCCTCCCTCACCCGGTGTGGGCACCGAGCAGAGCCCTGTGGGCACAGGTACATCACCAGGAACCTGCCCTGGGCCAGAGGCACAGGGAAGGGAGTGAGTCATTACACCCCCCTCAACACCTCCCACCCCCCACCCACATTGCAGAGAGAAGGGCTGCAGCCCTCAGGGTCAGAGGAGTGACCGAGCCTCCTGCAACGCGTGCGGGTCCAGCCGGCCCCACATGACCTCCACGCCCCGCTCCCCTCCCATTCCCTTCTGCTGCTGTGCCCATGCTGTGTTCTGAGCTTCTGGAATCACTGCTCCTGCGTTTTCATTTGTCAGCTTCTGCTGCAGGACCGAGGCTGGAATCTCCGCACTTGTGTCGTCACTGCTCTCCAGGCTCCACGCACCTTGCAGCGCTGTGTAAGCAGCTGCACTCCCTTCCTCTCTTGGAAACCAATTCTCAATCATTTCAGGTTTGCAATAAATTGTGCGACTTATGGAACAAGGGTTTTCTTCCCCCAGAGCTAATGTGTGTGTTCAAAGAGCAGAGAACAACGCAATTATAACCGTGCACCACAGCAGTTATTTTTTAGTGTTTCGAGGCCCATCTCTTTTCTCCTCATTCTGTATTGTGTACTCAGCTGATTAACTCTAATGAGCTCCAGAGAGTAACTGGCAAAACATTAGAGGAATTCATCGCCCATAAATGGGGGAAAGATGCTGTCTGTGCTTGGTGGCGCACATCCAGGAAACACACCTGATGCTTCTGAGCAGAGCCCAGATGGAACCGGATGGAATGTGCAGGCTCCTCACCCTAACAGCCAAGCGTTTCCCATCATGGAAACCGGAGCCCCCCCAGCTTCACGAGGACCTGCTGCAGAGGAAGCAGGCAGTGAAGGACGTAGGGCACCTGCTCCAGGCTGTCATTTCTGCTGTCAGAGGCCCAGGTGTTTCAGTTGGGGCATTCTCAAGTTCACCCGCAGCTCAGAGCCCAGCCCCTCGCCCAGGCAGCATTTCAGACTGAGAAGGGCGCACCTCACCCCATCCTGCCAACCTTCTCCACACATACATCACTGGTCCCGATCAGAGAGAAAGCCGGGGATTTCATCCACGGATGTAGACAAACGCAGCAATTTAACGTGAGCAGATGTGCACATGCCACGGGATGCAGTGCAGACCCTTCAGTTCCTGAGGTGGGGGGACAGTCGGGGTTCTCGGGTTCAGCTCCTGTGCAACACCCATGGTGTGAAAGAGCACGCTGGCTGGCCCACTGACGAGACGCGCTGGCAGTGAGCGGTGTGTCCCAGAACCCAGTGCCCGCCCACCAGCTGGCCTCCAAGCTGAGCGTAAGCCTCAGCCGACCCTGACGTGTGTCATTTGAAGCTAGGGTTTGGGGATGGTCACACGGAAAGTGCAAATCAAAGCTTCACCCATTTCCCCCCAAATTTCTAAGGCCCATGCCATGCGTGGAGAACAGTCGACAGACACCTCGCCAAGCCAACAGGTATTCACTGAGCATCGACTGTGCTGCAGGCAGAGTGCCGAGGCTGAGCCGGGCTGACCCCCACTTTCAGGGAGCATGTTCCCCATCTCCGTGGGGAGTCCTAGGAAGGAAACTCGTAGGAGTTTAGACTGATGGGTGAATGCGAGTCCACGCTGTCAGCAGAGATTGACCGACACACAGAATGGAACAGAGTACCTAGAAAAGGCTGATCTGCAAAGGGGAGAAGTCCGGAAGTAATGAGGGTGGGGCTCACGACCGTGTGATACAAAACTTCCTACGTGGTGAAGAGAACACCTGCGCCCTCACCTCAGACCACACAGGCACGAACACGTCAGCCAACCCCAGGGGACCACATAGAAGGAGACTGTCTTTGTGACCCTGGAGGAGGGAGACTTCATAAACAAGATCAAGACACTCGAACCACAAAGGAGATCCATCAGTTTTACTACATAATTAGAAACTGTAAGATAAGATTCGCTAAATAAGGTAAAGACAACTGGTAGAGACCGACAGGAGATGCGTAACAAAGGATGAACAGCTGGAGACAAAGAACACGGAGCCAACCAGGGAGGACGCCCCAGTAGAAAAGGGGGTAGGCTCGCAGACCAGCCGCCCCGACGTGCCCGGCCCCCACCTCCCGCCTGCCCGGCGCTGTGTCACCTGCACTCAGGGCTGAGTCAGCCACCCTGCTCTGGAGGCTCACCCATGGTCTGACACCGCGCCCACCACCCCCACCCCACCAACTACAACTCGAAGCTCGAACACGGGGTGGAGGGAGCACACATGTCACTCTCATGACACAGATGGGAATAAAGTATCTTTTAAAAGGATGCACTCTTGAAGAAAATTTTAATTTAAAAAGAATCAAAAGAAAAACCAGTGCCTAAATCTTTATTTTTCATAACCTACATTTTTTCAAATTAGACAGTTTTACACTGAAGTGACACAAAAGGAAACTTAAATTACCAATAGTTTACACGTAAGCTTGATTCCAGTCTCAATGAAAAGAAGCAGAACAAAAACAAAAGCTCTCGGCCAAGCGTCCAGCCCCCCGGGAGCTGGGCTCAGGCCCCTCCTCCAGCTGCGATTGTCACTGCTCCCCGGGGACACTCGCCTGCCCCGCTGCGGCCTCCCCACGGCCACAGAAGGCGCTCCTGCTGCTGGAGTGACCAGAAGTGATGCCATCACAGGAGGCCTGGTCAGAACAGCAAGACGCTGACTCCTAAAAAGCAACTACACTGCTTGAAATTCACATCTGGTGAGGCGCCAGGGTCTCACCCTTACACTTCAGGAGGTGCGGGTCGTCACATAGCTGAACAGGCGAGAGCGCCGTTGTGGCTGTGGTACCTCTGACTCTGCACCTCGAGACACTGTTGGGGGAGGAAGAGCCACACGGGCAGCTGCACGTGGCAGAGCTGCCCTCCCAGCTTCCTGCCCTGCACCTTCCGTTCTTTTCTGAGGAGGATCAGAAAGGTGGGGGCCATTGGGCACGCACCCTGGCTTAATTAGAAAGGATGCTGCAAAAATCACCCCCGAGTGGGGTCAACTCTAGAAGCCAGGACTGCAGAGGGGGCAGTGTAGGCCACGGCCGCCATAGGCCACCTCCACCCATCCTCCAACGGCAGCAGCACAGGGCCAAGCACACGCCTCCAGGGCCTCGGGCTCCAAGAGGGTGCGGATTCAGGCGGTGACATTCGGGGGTGACGGTGGCTGGCGACATCCACCTCCTCCTCCAGCACAGACTGCAGCGTCAGGGGATCTCAGCACTGGGAGCTGGCCTTTCTGACTCCTTCTACAGCACTCACCAGTTTGGGTGCAGGAGGCCAGTTATTTCTGATCTTTCAGCCAGCAATCTCACAACCACAAAGAAGCAAGGTCCCCCGTTCCTTCCTGGGGCACCAGCAGCATGGCGCCGTGCGGGCCTCGCGCTAGGACAGAGGCGCTGCTCGAGGGAGACACCGTTTCCTCCGGCGGGAGGGTTGCGCGAGCCGCCTGTGATTCTAGGTAGACTCATTTCTTACTTTCACTTGAGATCCTGCCAGTTTCTACTTTCTGGATTATACCTCAAAAACCCTTTCACATTAGCTGTGATTAGTACATATTTACATACTTTTAGGAAGAGCATGAAAATATTGGAAGGTTTTAATAAGACTTTTCATCTCCCTTTCACAGCAGCAAAGAGGCAGAGTCAGCCCAACACACCAGTACAAGAGAAAAAGAAAAAAACTCAACGAATTAAAATAATGTTCAAACCACAACACTGAGTTTATCTACATCCAGCTCAATAGCAACATTTATAATATATCAGTTTTTATCAGATTTTTCTCTGTAGGGAACCTTTTTAATATGTTCTGATTACTTACAACTGTACAAGCAAACCACACGCTCCCAAGTGCACAGGTATAATACAGTATCAACTATTTGCACTTACAGGATTTCTCAACAATCTGAAGAAAGACCAACTGCTTAGGACCTCCCGGTGTCACAGCACCGCCGCCACGTCCTGTCCTGCAGCACGCTCACTCAGCAGCCCGAGCGACACAGAGCCCACGCAGCTGAGCAGCGGCTCACTCGCGCCAACCCAGGGGCCGGTCTCATGGACTCTAAGCTGTCCTATACAAAAGTTAAGGCAAAGTCATTTTCAAGTTTAAATAAAATTCAAGTCTTTAAATATTGGATGGAAATCATCTTAAAAAAAAAACAAACAAAACCTCAGGCTTGTTAAATAACATTTTGTGGAATAAACTGTATGGTTACATTTAGCAGGAAATATTCTTATTTTAATGTCTGCTGCTTAGCACACTTAAAGGAAAAATTTAGGTATTTTAAAACAAAATAACTTATGTTTAACTTTATCATCAACTGCTAGCTTTAGTGCATGTGTGTTCTTCTGAGAGCAGCACTTTCAGAAGGGTCCATGAGACCCTCGTC